TAATTCAATTAACATGCGAACACCCCTTTAAAACACAAATGAATGAGGAAATGAATACTAAAAAGATAAATCAATAAACAGCGTATATCGCCACGCCGAGAAAAACATCGGCTTGATATGCTGAGGGTGAGAGACTAGTACCGAGAATGTTTATTACCTACTAGTCTAGGTACATATTGGCCAGGTGTGTTCGACATGCGGGCAATTAGCAAGCAGTTGCTGAAATATTTATGATATCAGTTTGAGATGTTTACAGCCTCTTATACACGCCGACTACGAGATCTGGGTTGTAGTGAGTGTCTGTGATGTGTAAAGGCGTAATCGCATGCTGGAGTAATTAACACGTTGTAATTAGTGCAGCAATTAGACTTCACTATTTGAGGTGAGCGACATGGGACAAATTATGGTTAAATAAGGTGTGACACATTGGCTCAGTGATTAAAATAGGTTTGTACAGATAGTAGTTATCAGTCCTGTTGCACGTTTTAAAGAAATCAAAAAGTGCTTCTAAATGATTCCATAAACACAGATAAAACGTATACATAAATACATGTCCATTAAGTACTGAACATACACTACCATGATAACACATCATGGTTGTAGGAACGGAGTAGATATTTTTGGCTGCAGATGTATACACGACGATGATTGAAGCAGGTCAGCAAACCGATATTCTGAGACCTATTGGTTATTACGTAATAACACGTGGTTCTCGTTGACATGTTGCTTATTTATTTGTTTTTCCAAAATGGGCAACTCTTTGCAAATTGCATCTTTCAATGAAATTATCACCCTGAAGGAGATGGAATAGTGATTAGGTCACCTTGTACATACACTCATAGAGTGTCTTCATGAGATTTGGGAGACCTTTTCTCCCATAGGCAAGTTTTGAGATAAAAATATTCATTTGAGTTTTATCGTTATATCACTAAATGTATTTTGGGATAAAATATATTTGTGGATTTGAAGAACAAATCACTTAAAAATATAACTTTATGAAATACTAAATTTTCAGTAAATATACACGGAACTGTTTGAAATGTCTATCCGTCTCAACAACATGGAAATGTATCTACCCGAAGAGACCTCTGAACCTATCGCGGACTTCCCCACGTGTGAGACTGTCCATTATTGGTGATATACGCTAAATAGTGTTATATTTGGTGTTAATTCTGATCTACTCATTCCCTCACTGTGTATGTTCCCTGATCCTAAGCAATGCCATAAATGAAATTATACACGAAAATCTGATGACGTCTATACACTGAACAGATATGCGGATACGAAATATGACGTCGTGTCAACAAAGGTATGTTGTTCCCCACTAGTAAACTTGACATTTATTTGTCACCACTTCATAGTGTACGGAACTGTATGTGGGAAGCAGGGTACATCTTCAGACGTAGATCTGAGCTTTGATGGGGAGAAGGCGGTATTAAAGAGGGCGCAGGAGAAAGAGTCAGAGAGATTATAAATTCAATATAACATTATTGATGATTTTGATTAGTGTGCACTATAAGTATACACTTTAAGTAGTTTCATCAACACCTCTGACACAAGATTTGGTGTCAACGTCAAATGGAAGTAACAACTTCAAGAGCCTTACACAGATCACTGTAATGTTTGAGTAATGACGCCAGGTGTTACACAATGAACACCCTGCCACACTGGACAAACATTGGACAAATACTCGCCAGCATCATGCATTACGTACTGAGTGAATGTAGTTTAACGCCGCGTTTAGCAATATTCCAGCAATATCACACAATGTGCCCATGTGGGGAATCGAACCCGGGTCTTCGGCGTGACGGGTGAACGCCTTAATCAATAGGCTTCCCCACCGCCCCATGTGCATTAAGTATGAAGTGAAACGTTGTGTTGACAAAAGCAGTTGTGAGGTCTTTGATAAATATTTAAAATAAGGTATATACTCTGCCTTTGAAATATGTCATATTGTGTAACTCTGTAAGGCCGATGCATGAACACCGGTTGAGACGTCCCTCTCTTAATTTTGACTTCAAAAGCAAATTTTAACTCGAATCTAAAATATTTTTGAGAAAAATATTTGTACATGTTGTTTGACGCTGTAGTCAGGAAAGTTCACCCAAACGTCCACATTCCCATGAAAGTGACTGTCTCACGCTGCTCGTTATTGCGTACCGTAAAAGAGACGTCATATGCACGTCACCTTCGAGATACTCTCTGATGTGATGCACATAATATATAATACCTTTATCAAATACGTCACATGTTGGTTTTCATTTTGTCACCGTCAAGCACATTTTCTTTTACCTGACTGATTGTGTCACGACAACTTGTAAAGTACCGAATCTGGATCAGACAAAGCAGTCAGTGAAGACACGAGCATGATCCATGACTTAGCAATATCCTGGAGCATCAGGGGGTACAAAACATCACCCACACTTCATGTTTAACCCATTCTCAGCTAGCCTGTTCGCCATCTTATGTACCTTTAAACCAACATTGTATGCACACCGCACGTATATATATCATATCGCCATACCATATCCAAGAATGGTTGGACTGATATGAACATTTAACATGTTACATAAGTCCCACTGGTTAATATAATCTAGATTTCTGAAATGTCATTTGTGAAATATAGAATTCACTAGTACGCAAGAACCCAGTTCAGTACCGTTGACTCCAAATCCCATAATTGTACAATCGCTATACTCGATTCCTCACATGGGTACAACGTGTGAAGCCCATCTCTGGTGTTCCCCACGGTGACACGGCTGGAATATTGCTAAAAGCGGCCTAAAACCATACTCAATCAAAGTATCCTTAATTCGAGGTTGCTGAAGTGCGATTCAGTGGGTTGAATGAACAATGAACTGTATTCTGTGCATGTTGTTATACATACAACTGATTTTCCTGGTTACCAATGTTTAGGGCATATGCATCCTTGTACTTGATACTGAATACTTCACTCGCTGCTGCATGTCACCGGCATACGTCATACGTTTGAGCAAATATTTCTCTATTTACCTTCATCTACTTCAAAGGCACTATATGTACACGTTTGTCATATTTTCACAATACTGTTCAAACTGAAGTAATCGAGTCAAATGACATCAATCTTGTCCTCTTCAAAGCGTCTAAATGTCCAAAGTACATCAAAATATGAAAATAAAATGACACTTGTTTCTTTTTGTTTAAGAATTGGGTACAAGAATTACTTTATTTAAAAAGTAGCTCATCAAATACATTGCAATTACTACTGTCGTGTGCTACAGTTGTATTTATGTTTAAGAACTCGGTACAAGAAATATTTTAATTAAAAAGTAGCTTATTAAATGCATGGCATTTCCTACCGTCGAAATACCGAAATATACATCACGGCTTCTTAGCAGAAGAACAAACTAATAATGTTTCCATAGCGTTACATATGTTTGTGACCCTGTCCCGCACCAAAACGACACCACCAACCCTCCCCTTTCCCGTATGTATACACAACATCCACATATGAAACGTTTACATTGATAACAGTGATACATTGCCGCACCATGTTCATCTGTAGCATATTTCCATCACACAACAGCACGGTCGTTGTGTGAAACTCTTTCATATAAAATGAGTGCTAGTTTATATTAGCCATGTGTAATTTGTCCTTCAATGCAGTGACATTTTTATTACACACTGAGTTAAATGGCCATAAACAGGATCGCGGGTTCTTGCCAAGACGTTTTCCACACAAAGAACAAACCATGAGAGACTTGTAGCTACCATGGGACTTCACAACGTTGGATTGTGCCTCAACGCTAACCTACTTCTTGTGGCATTCCATGTGCTCCAAGCTCGCCTCTCTGAGTTTCAATGAAAGCTTTCTCCACGGCGACACGTTTCCACACTACCGACCGAGACTAAATTTTAACATGTTACTGTTTCAATATTGTTGCTTAGGTTAGGTCGCAAGACTCTAGCCGCACCCTGAAGATTTATTAAGACATTTGAAACGAGAACTGAAAAGCAGAAACGGCATGAAGTTTGCATTGCTCGCGATCGAACGTCCAATAACCCTTGGTCGTAATTTGTTTTAAAACTTTTTACAGTCATGTATTTCAGAAAGTGCCCGGCTTGTGTGCCTCACACAATCAATTTAACGCTTAGTGTCAACTACATATCCTTAAAACATCTGGTGATGAAATTACTGAATGTGTATAATATGTATATCTACAGTTACAACTGGTCAGAAATTGGAGAAATATTCGTAGCAGTAATCCTTAGATTTCTTATCCATCATGCAAATGACAAAATATTATTTAACATTATCGAATAAGTCATTTAAAAAACTCATTTCAGGACAAATTGTTGGAAATGTTCCAGTGTCCGACAATCGCCCCTGAATGGGACCCATTACATAACTGAATTAATTGCAATTCAGTGACACAAGGAGGGGCATGTTCAAGATAAGCCATATCAACATAGCTTTGCGTTTGATTATCGTGTAATTCACGACATGTTTTACATAAATACACAAAAAGCCAGGAACGTCTTTGTTCTGGTGAAGTGCATTTGCAGGATTAAAGTTCTAATCAAAGGAATCAAAGAGCATGTTGTTCAAGGTATTGCTGATTGAGGAGATTCTAGCATATTCATTGTATGAAAACACCTTTATGTTAATATACCCAGAACATGCTGTGGCACTGTATTGACCCCTTTGCCAGAAGAAAATTGAAACAAATTGAAATAAATAGTTCCTATTAAGATTTAAAATACCACATATGTGTCGCACCATACGATTATATAAAGGACACGATTAATTATCAATAATGTTTGTAATATTCACTATTGAAACAATTTTAACGATGATATTGATAGCCAAGTTCATTCACTGATAATAATCGTGATTGTGATGAACAAGGTGTTCAATCATCCAAAGTATTTTGAAAAATAACATAAATTTCAAAATAATAAATTTGTTTGAGACTAGACCTGAAAGGGGAAAAATGCTTCAGTATATGTAATAGTCCTACCTTTGACTTGCGTTCTGTCTCCGGCATAGGTTCCCCATCCATCGGCTGTTGAGTACCCCTGGTAGGTAACTGGGGGTGGTCGGGACAGCTGCAGGGACAGGGTCGACTCAGTGCGCGGGGGGTTATGCAGGCTTTCCCCAACGGTTCCAATGTAGGTGTATTTCGGGGAGGACGACGGCGCCCCGTACATGGTGTCCGATGTTGCATTCCACACAGGGGTGGAGACAGGTGTGGGGGTCCCTGAAGGACTGTCATACTGTATCGGCATCATCCCGAGGGGTCGGGATGACGGCACGTAGAGGGAGGGTAGGCCAGAGTGGAGGTAGGTCTGTGACTCGGAGTAACTTGGGGGTTGCATGGTGACCAGCCCGCCTGACCCTAGGGGTGATCCTTGATATAGGGTGTGGTGAGCGGACAACGGCGCGTTGGTCAATGTGGTCAAGTGACCATTACCTACTGTCGTAAAACTAGCCAGCGCGACGGTTGTTGCTGTCGGTCGATTGTCTAGGTTGTGAAAGAACACTTCAACATCTTCACAAGGTAATAAATGGCCTGGAGTTGACTCAAATCCCATATGGTGCCCAGTACCTGGGTGGGTGGCGTGTGGGTGGGGTAGATGAACAACCGAAGAGAGGGTACCGTTCGTCACAGGTTCCCCGGGGGGTGAGCGACTAGGGCTATCAGAGTCTCTAGCAGAGTCACGTTCAGGATCCCGTGGGGGAAGGGAGGATTCTGGCTCGTCCTTCACAATCACCTCAGTGGCCGTAGGGGGCATAGGTTGTGTAGGAGAAGAGGTCCAGCGCTCGTCCACCTGGGACATGTTGCTTCCACAGCGTCCAGCCTGCTTGTCTTACCTGGCAAGACATGCAATTAGACCCCCGGCATGGGATCAAACGGGTGTCAGCTCTCTAGTCAGCGGAGGTAAGCACCTGGAACACACAGTCACTTGTCAAAGACACACATGGAAATATGGCGTATAACCAGCAGCACAGAAGAAATAGTCTACCACATCAACCCTGACACAAACATACGGATGAAAGAGATAATATAATTAATAAACGTAAATGAGTCACAAACCGGCTTATTCAAATGAATCGAAAGCAGTAACATGGCTCCCTGAAGGAGTCCAGGTAACGGCCGAATGTCTGTACGGGTAGGTGGTGTAATGCTGGTCCTTAGCGCGCACCTGCTGCTACCAACATGGCCGCCAGTCGACAAGGACCGGTTGGACTTTAGTTTTAGCGTGACACGGAACAGCCACGGAGGCACCCGTTATGTAGCAATTTGGACTTCACATAGGAACCGTTTACTCCCGCAGTAGCAAAATCCTATTCATGAAGATGCCTTTTCCAAAGCTGCTACCTGTAATTAGTGATCATCAAAGGCCAGCTCACCTGCCGTGATGATAGCGGTACCACCTACACCGATTCCCAGACCTTAAGGTCTGGGATCGAGATCCTACATAAGAATTCCACATAATTCCAAAAGGCCGAAACTTGAAAAACACAAGAAGAATATAGCGTGTCAAGTCGAGACGAAACATATAGCCAGAAACTGTGAATTGTGGGTGATTTTATCACTCTTGGGCAACAGATAGCGAGCGGGCTATATTGACTGCTGGCTAGGACTGCGAGTGATAAATCAGAGACCTGTTTCATTACCCTGATCTCCTTCCATGCTCAGATAAAACTCCTAGATAGCCGTCTCTCGATAAAACTACATTCGGTAAAAAATGTATTCTAAGTACATGCATACGACCTTTCTAAATTAGCATATGCAGATTTAGTACCGTTACTGTCATTATTGTATATTAGCTGGGTAGCGGTCCAAATTACGAATCGAAGACACGTGGCTCATGACGTCAGCTGTGTACGCCCCTTTCCCGCTCTCGCGAGATTTCCATTGCACACAAAGCCGGCATATTGAAAATAGGAAGTTACCTGAAATAGCTGTACAACGTACACCTTGATGCACCCCTTGCAAGCGTAATAACTGACCGGTGTTCGACCGTCGTCCGTTATGTTTTCCAGGCTATGAAGTAATCCATCTGGCGTTTAAACATCAGACCGGCCTCTTCAGACAACTGGGTTACGTCCAGCCAGCTCGCCCACCCTGCCGTGTGGTATACTACCCGATCTACCTACTTAGCCTATTAAACAAATGCTGTTCTGTATTCTCATACTCTGGCTGTCTAATTATGATGTAGTATGCAGTGACACAAATATTCGCGTATCCAGTTGGCTGAAATGGCGGAGCGCCGCCTTACAGAGAGGCAATTGTGAATGGAGTCTGAAGAGGGACTCGCTATTAAAATAATCTTCTTATCGTTCGGGTCAAACACCGATACTATGAATGCTAATGATTGTTTATAAATGTTTATAGTTAAACATTGGTTTATCTCTGGCTCGCGCGACTTGAGGCTCTCAAAGCAATGAGGTAGAGTTGAGTTTCACGTCAATGAAAAAAACCCCGTATATACAACCTTCTCTATTTTTCAGATATATGTTTTGTTCCAAAACACCGAAAAAACGTTGCGGTTTTTACAAGTTCAAAGGTGTCATTATCAAGTCTAAATAATTGGAATAATTGCGAGAGAAGTTCTACGTGTGTTGTTATAAATAACATGTGCTTTTCCGCTTGCTAGTGGGTGTTTTTATATTTAGAGACCAGCTGGTTTGACTCTTATTTGGCCGTCAACACGAGATCGCTCCAAGTGGAGAAGTAATTCAAGTCGGTGTTTATAGTAATGTTGACAAATAACTTCTAACCAGCTCCACGTCTCTGGCAAGTACGATAGTTTTCTATCACAAACTCTAGCTGCTGTTTGATTGTATCTGTTCCTCATAAAATGTATCGTCTTGAAAGAAGATGTCTGCCTCTCATAGTGTAGCATTTGGTAGATACCTTGAAAACCAAACGGAGTATATTTCTGCAATACTGTATACATTTACACATGTGTTGTTCTATTTCAACATTACCTGTAAAAATGTCAAATATTTAACTATCTCTGATCTAAACAATTACATCTTGGGGTTCCCCTCTTTGTTGGAAAATATATTTGAGAAACACAATATATATATGCGTGTGTTTGTGTTTGTATGTGAGTGTGCCGACAAATCACAGTGTTTTAACATAAAAGTAAATTCTATATAATAAAAGTATAAAGTCAATCGCTATTACTTCTGTGTAACATATCCTTTGACTTTATATAACACTGTAATAAATCGCCAGCATATCTCTTAATGTTTCTATTAATATCACACAGTAAGAATTATATATGTATGACTACACACCACACCTACACAAAAGCAGAGTCGTTTTTAGGGCAAAATAACATGATACAGCAAATACTCCAACACATATTTAAAATAATAACTATGGTTTGTTGCATGAGTATTAAGGAAGAACAGGAAAGAAATGTACTTATCGGTAGATTGCGAAATAGTCCAAGATGAATAGCGTCCCTTTGCTAACCATCAGCGTGGAGGCGCTTCAATCACTTGGCCGCTGTGCGTGACTCTATCCGCACAGTTGCGGCTTAGCAGCCTCCATGTATATCAGTATCTACCCGCTTGTGTACATGTTGACGTGCGCCAGTGACACCAGCAAGTACCCAGTTGACATTGCCGTACTACAATGAACCTTGTACCTCAACGAAACCGCATCTGAGGTGACTAAACCAACAATAGATGTAGGGCCCTGTACCCGGCTCCCTTGTTATCATGTAAATCTAACTCTGTGTATGTCTATGTTGTGTTAACAACAGGTATATAAAACAAATGAAGCAGGTAAAGTGCCTATTTCAAGATATACATAGATTTACAATTTACAGTATAAACATATTTGCAACAGTTGTAAATACACCACACTCTGTGGATATAAACAAATACATGCAGATTTGACAGCAGGTTCTTGTACACACATATACATACTCTGTGGTCAACTGAAAGATTTTATGAGTAAAGTTTACATATGTCCCAAATCCTATGAATTTCAATTACTCAATAATGCAGTATTGATATGAAAGCCCACGATATGTCACTGCAGCTCAAATAGAACGATAATGTGTGTGTGCGTGTGCGTGTGCGTGTGCGTGTGCGTGTGCGTGTGTGTGTGTGTGTGTGTGTGTGTGTGTGTGTGTGTGTGTGTGTGTGTGTGTGTGTGTGTGTGTGTGTGTGTGTGTGTGTGTGTGTGTGTGTGTGTGTGTGTGTGTGTGTGTGATCATTACTGCCACTGCAGCTCAAATATAACGATTAAATGTGTAATCATTAATGCCGCTGCAGACTGGTCTATTTTGAATAATTTAGTTACATCTTATTTCATATTTTCTGAAAACATCATTTTTATTAAACTCATGTATCTTATTGTTTTGTACTTAAAAATGAACAATATATATAATCGTAATTCTTGAAACTGAAAATTATTCGAAGTGATTTATAAGCACAAAATTCGGTGCAATTGAAGAGTTAGATAACGTCCGGGGACTATTCCTTTGAAGGAATGATTCAAATTTCGCAAACAATTTAAAATTTGTAGTTTTGATAGGTATACCCTTGTTTCTGTGTTTGCCACTCATTATCACTCTGCCAAAATACTACAAAATATTTAAAGATGTTAATTGATTCCATTGTGATATCACTCACGAAAAGGTCTATCATTTTAGTTATTATTTTCTTTCTTGAAATTATATCTGATTCTCTTTTGTAAATGTGTGCCTGTCTTAATATCAATTCTGTTTCTTTATTCAAAGTATTGCTTGACGATTTGTTATCATCTTTAATGATACAGATAATGTATCACCAGCTAATAACCTAAATATACACTGAACTAATATCTCATTTCAAAATACTTTAAAATCTTATCAATGGTCTAAACACTGAGACTCCCGTGAGCACTGGTTTCACATACGATTTGGCTTGGTAAACACGTTTGTGTCTATGACCATGACTGACACATGGTGATATTAATGCGGTGTATTTGTCCGTATTGACAAATGTCAGGATAAACGAGTTATGGATGTAGTTTACTATTCCTGATACGTAATGACTGACGCTCCTTGCCGTACTTCCCTGATGTTTGTCGTATTGGTTAATCTTGTTTCGATTTACGTAGTTCACAAATGTTTTCTAACGTGAAAAAATACATTCCAAGATGCTACTACAAGTTCACTGAGAAGCTAGCTCAAGCAACAGCAGATGGTGGAAAAAGTGGTTAAAGTGTTGATTCGTCTCATAAAAGGCTAGGTTTTCGATTCCCCCAGCAGTAAAGCACGTGAAGGCTGCTCTTGTGCTCATCACTCGTAAATCGTAACTCCTTGTTTAACCAATCCGCAAACATCACTCTGAAATGGTAGAAATAGACATACGTCATACTAAAAATATCACTTTTTTCACAAATGAGAAAAACCATTATTTTATGGTATTCAGGGTAAATGAGATAAATGGAATATTGACTTTATTGTAATAATTCCGTATTGCATGTGTGTATTTACAGTGATGTTTGACACGGATTGATCAAACAGTTATAGATACTAGCTCTGTTCTGAATGTCCATCCATGTGTCAAACGCAACACCTAATAGAAAGTTTCTGTTTACGTTCAGCTGAAGTCTGAATACAATCGTGTAACAATTGTGTAGTATGGTTGATCGACCTAGTTATTTTAATCTCCCCCAAACAGAGATCAGGACCAATATGTTATATTCTCATCATGTACCTTGACTTCATTGTAGATGCTCAACAGTTGTAACTTCCATTGCTGGCTCCCATCAGCCTGTTCTTACTCTTCATATGTGTTGTGTTGTGTTGATTGTATTCTCCACCATTCATATGGCGCTTTTAGGGACCGTTCATAATTTATGGCGGCGACGGTGTGTGTGTGTGTGTGTGTGTGTGATATGATGATTTTAAGGGGAGGGGTAACCCATTTTGTTCTGGGGAGGTAGGTGGTCATCAATTTTGTACACATGTACTAGGGGGTCAGCAATTTTGAACATGGCATGCAAGGGGGGAGGTCACTTACGTTGTACATAAGTTTAAGGGGGGTCACTCACATTGTACATGCTTCTCCATAAAAATCATCATCACCCCCCTTGCCATAAATTATGAACGGTCCCTTATGTTGGTTGTATCAGGGATAATCTACAGCACCTTCTGTTCTCCCTGGTTGTATCAGGGATAATCTACAGCGCCTTCTGTTCTCCCTGGTTGTATCAGGGATAATCTACAGCGCCTTCTGTTCTCCCTGGTTGTATCATTTACATAAGCACAACCTCGTCGATTTATAACTGGCTTCATTATTCTTTTTAATAAATCCTCTTTGTGTGTATATCAGCGTCTATATTACGTTTGGTTCATTGTAATCAATTAGTTTATGCAACCTAGACACATACACATCACTTGCAGTATTAAACATTTGGTACTTTTGTGTGTTTACAATATGTTCATACCAATAAGAGACCACGCGGAGACAAGAGTAACTAGAATATGAACACTATGAACGTGGAATATTTGCTGTGAAAGAAATATGTTTTTCTTCTATGCTCCCAAATAACGATAAAATGATTTCATTTTTGGATTCCGTTTACTTGTGCGTAACATAATATCTGATATCTGGGCCAGCATACCTCTGATACTCCGTAACTAGCCCTACTTCCGTATTCTCTCTCCTCGTATCAAATCAATGTTCTAACAGGGTAGAACCAACCACCACTCTTTACCTGTCCAGGAACATACAGTTGGGAGAAATGAAGTCAATCAATTCAAATTCACTTTATTTCACTCAGGGTTACATTCCTCTTTCTGACATTAAACCAGCCTTTTAAATTTCAAAATGATCAACTCCTTTCAGTGGCTGAACGGAAATACACGCACTTTATAAAAGCAAGTGAAACAGCGGAGCTGACGCCTCAATACATTACAAATCGTTCAGTTATTGAACCGCTGAGACAGGTTCTTCCCGGTTCGCATTTCCTTGTTCGTTTTATGCAGTGTATTCCTTATTCCTGATTCAGTTTGCGGCAATGCTGATGTATACTCATGCCAATAATGATTGTCACCCCCTCCCCATCCAACCCCACACCCCCCCTCTCCAATAAAAAAAATTGAAGGGGGTGACAACCATTATTGGCATGAGTATATCAAAATGATTTCGTTTATTCCGTTCTTTTTTGTCGGAATGTGCTGCAAAACTTGAAATGTATTAGTGACACGGTCGAAAAAGTGTATGATCTAGATGATACTTTCAACTTCTATACGTACATGATACTTAT